GCCACTTGTATTCAAAGATACCCGTCTACTGAGCTAGCCAATTACTATTGCAGAGTCTAGTCTAGCTCAAGTACATTTGTATTTGTTCAACGCCTACAGAGCCAACCTGTGCTTTATACTGCCACTATCCTAATCCGACCTTAGTTACACTTTCTGGGAGAGAGCGTTTAATCTAGAATGATCAACAGTCTGAACAACACCAGCATATTCAAAACCTCGGTCACGATGACTTGTGACTTCGTGATAGCTACAGCTATCGACGGCCCCATGTATTCCGTCTGTCCAATTTCACTTACAAGTCTTGGGTCAAACCGTGGTGTGGTGTCCAGGCACTTTCCAAAGGTTCCGCACGCTGTAATCCTCTCCCTCCAGACCGATAACACAGACACTCCCCCCCACTTATATATATATATATATATATATATATATATATATATATATATATATTTGGTTGGATAGATGTAGTGTGTGACCCTGGGTTTTCACGCTTTAGCGATCGTCAGACAAACCACTAACGATATCGCTAAAGCATGAAACCCAGGGTCACAAACTCACATCTATCCAACCAAATATGTTAGCTCTATCTCTGATATTGAGCGCTTTCTAATAAGTACCGCGTATATAGTATATAAATAATTATACATATATATTTATTTATATTTATATACATATTCATACACACACACACACACACACACACACACACACACACACACACACACACACATATATATATATATATATATATATATATATATATATATGGTGGATTCTCTCTTCGTAATGGAATTGACTGGAATTCTAAATCGGCTCTCCGAATCCTCAGTCAGAGACACTACACACTACTCTACCGTGACTGACTGACTGAATCTCTCTCTCTCTCTCTCTCTCTCTGTATATATATATATATATATTATATATATATATATATATATATATATATATATATATATATATATATAACATTACTTTTTGGTTGTAATGTTCAATACAGACTACCTAGGAAGAAAATTTGAAGATATATTAAATAGATGAGAAAAAATATCACCAATATTGCATTCATTTTCTCTTATATAATTATGGAGAGAAAAAAATACAATTTTGGATTTACTACTATTCTCAGTATGGGGAATAATGCATGAAGCTAATGAAAGATTTGGAACTGGAAAGGCAATTCCATGAAGAATAGAAGAGATTTCAAGTATCATAAACATTTCAGATTCACTCAAATGGCTTTTGGATATTGAAGGATTTTTATGGATGATGAAATCAATAATGAAAAATGAAAATGACGATTGAACTGAAAGAATTTCTACTCCTGATGCAGATGAATTTTTTATATCGACGAAATTGAGGAAGCCACCCAATTAGCTAATAAATTAGAACATTTAGTATTAACTGACGATTCTCAATTTGAATGCGCTAAAACATTTAAAAATCACCTTAACGATATAAAGACATTTGCAAAGCTTTGACAAAAAATAATACACGATTATTTTCTGATGGCAAGAGTAAACGAATAAGAAGGAAAAAAAAATGATATCCTTGGCGATTAGCAGTGAAAATAAAAGCGCTTAATATTATAAATCAGATTATACTTTTAAATTAATTTTAAATTCTTTCAGTGTAATTTTAAAGATAAATATTCTATTTTACAATAAAAAATTATTTTTTGACTTTAAAGGATAAAATGTTGTTAAACTGTAAAAAGCAATCATCGGGTAAAAGAAACAAACTTTCGTTCTTGTTTCTCGTGATCTTTTTAGTAGGCTTTGAGATAGCTTGGCGGCGGCTCCCATCTCCTCTCTCAACTCTTGACAAACAGCCGAAGATCACGGAATATATGGTGTGATTGGCACTGGTTAGTACACTAGGCTTTCGCGTTTTGAATTACGAGTTTCCAACGCTATTATTTACCTATGGAGGTGGGTGCAGAGACGAGATGTATTCATACCTTTTCTCAGAGTGAAACGTAAGAGAATACGATAAATCGACTGGAATTCGAACTCGGCTCTCCCATTCCTAAAGTAGAGCCGCAATCCATTATTACTCCAACGGCTGTCTACAGCGATTTACTTCTGTTGTCTTAGCGGTTTCATAGTCAAATTGGCAACTGATCTAAAAATAATGACCTAGAATTTGTTGTTAACTCTGGCAAATTTCAACTTGATTTCAATATCCCTAAAATGAAAACGCCCTCTTTTAATCGTCTGAGAGAACCATTTTTGCTAACTGTGTAAAACTGATTCAGGTAATCTCTTTCTAACTGAAAAAGAAACTCCGTACAAACAGGACCGGTTTCAAAAACGAACTCAACTGCGTTCAAAATCGAACTGCCCTCTACTCACTTGCATCGTGATTTTTATGCTCAACTTATCTCGCAAAAACATTGCATACGTTAGCCCACTCTCGCGAATTCTCCTAGCTCCTAGACCATACCTTTCTTAAATTAAGTTGTCAGGGCGGCCATCTTTCTTTTTCCTTTCCTTTCCTCCACTCATTTTGCACGCCAGGCCTATACTTAGCCACGCGGTTAAGACGTCTTCTCTTCTACACTAACCCCCAGCAGAGTGACTCATAGCACGTTCATGGGGTTGTTTTCCACTGACATGCAGTCAATATTATATTGAATCAATTACTAGGTCTTCTCCTAGGAAAGTTAGTTCACTCTGTCGATGTAGACAATTTTTCTCGCCAGAATCTATCTTTCATTCATGCTCTGAATATTGGTGCCACATTTGGTCTGGAACTCTTGCTATATATTTAGAGATTCTTCATTAAATACGAAGATGACTCTGTAATATTATTGAACTTAACCATCAGTCCCTTTCTCGCCGTCGTAACGAAGCTTCCCTGTAGCTTTTCTATAAATATTTTCATGGTAATTGTTCTAATTATCTTTCTTCCATAGTACCTAGACTTTATGAATTTAAGCACAGTACTAAATTGGCGGCAAGGTCTCATTATTTTGTAGTTGAAATGTTCAGATTTAACCGTAAGTTCTATGATAAGTTTCTTTTTCTCGCACTTATCGCTTGTGGAATTTTATTCCATCTTCTTGCTTCCCAGTCAACTTAGATCTTCAAAAAGTTAAATTCAATCTCAATCAATACCATCTACATTTGGGTACTTCAATGTGATGTTATGGTTTACAAGCTTGCTTTGCTAAATCAATTACGACTGAGTAATCATTCGAGCCTCTTTAGGGGAACCATATTTTCGTCCATACGCTTAGTGAAAAGGGCACCTCGACGTGGTGTAATGGTTAGCAAGCTTGTTACGCTAGAACAATTCTTTCGGCATTGTGCCAAATCAAAGCTACTCTTAGAAAATCATCTTGTATCTTCTTAATTGCTCTTCGTTTATTCGTCTCTTTACTTAACAGTGGTATTTCTTTTTCTGGTATTCTTTCAAACTCAGTAAGCCCTTGCAGTATAGTGTCTTTATTGCATTGCGCGGTGTGAAATGATTAAAAAAAAATAACTTAATGTGTTCGTATGCGGCTCAAGTGAGATGAGGCTCTGGCTTTATTCTCTTCAATGAAGTCCAATGTTACTGAGAATGAAAAGTAATTTATTTAACATCTTTTCATTCATCTGTCGATGTGGTCTCTTATTCTGAATGTCTTAGGCACAAAGATAGTATTGTGTGCCTTTTAACATTATTTACTGGTTACTGATATCGTGACAGAATAGACATATATATTTCAGTTCGTAGATTCATTTTATACCAGTTTTCTGTAATTTGTATTATATATTTACGATGGCTTCCAACTATGGGTAAATAGCAGGATAGACAGGGTTCTATAGCGTTGGGGACGGACAGTCTGGGAGAAAATAACTCAGAATTCGAAACTGTATTTATTTCTGACGTATCACATAATAAATCACAGCTAAAGAAATGATCGGTCGAATTGGCTGAATGATCTTGACGACCTGGATGGATGGGAAACAACATGGTCGGCTAAATCGGCGAATTTTATACTTCTAGAAACTATTACTTCTTACTGAACAATAATCCTATATAGATTCTCATATCAAGAGGATACAGAGAAAATTATTACAAAATATCAATTTATTATTATTATCAACATTTATTCATTTTCATCAACCAGTTCCTGGATATAAACGATTTTGGTTATAATGCGAAACTATTTTTTTTTTTATAAAGCATCATTTTTTTTTGGTGGGGGAGGAGGCAACTACTATGAAAATTAGAAAATATTTTGAAATAAAATCCCTTGTTAATTTGCTGTTCCATATGATCAAAATATTTTTCGAATCTTAATAATAAAAGAAAATTATAGTCTTACACCGCGCAGTTACAAACGGTAACTGTTACTGTAAATTTAGCAATGGATAAAATCTTCCCAATTATTTTGGTTTCTTATTACTGCAAATGTTATTTTTATTGAGAACGCATTTCGGGATTAGATTCTTAAAAGCCCCAACAACTTTGTATTGTTTATATTGGGCATTCAAACATTATACATCGTTATATAGGAAATCCTTATATAGAAAATCCTTCAGTATCTTTCTATATTTCTGAGATGAGGTATTATGTACATTATTTACATTATTGGGACTATTGTCTTCAGCTTTGTCACTATATTTATTACAACTTTTCGACCTTTCAGTATCTGTCTATATTTCTGTGATGGGGTATTATGTACACTATTTACATTATTCGGACTATTCTCCTCATCTTTGTCACAATATTTATTACAACGTTTCGGCCGTTGTACGCTCCTGGCTTCTTCAGGTGGTTGGAATGCCGAACTGAACCCTTTATTCCGCTCACTGGGGTAGACTGTTCTAGTTCCACATGACATGTTTACTGGATGTCATCAGTTACCTCCTGTTAATTTCCCTCTGAAAGTTCTCCACTGCCTTAACTGGGTATTGAACTCACACTCTTGTAATAAATATGGTGACAAAGATGAGGAAAATAGTTCGAATAATGTAAATAATGTAGGAAATCCTTATATAGTAAATTCAAACCTTGTTCTCTAAACTCGGCCTCTGTGGCCAAATAGATAGAGCACTTTTCGGTTACAGAATCGGCCTTCTTGAAGAAAAAGGAAGTATAAGTTCTATTTCTGTGGGAAGGACAATCTTTTTTTAGATTTCTTTATCTGGGTCAGTTGTAATTAATTTGACCGTTGGAGATTAAAAATAACATTCACCTGCAAAATCCAAATTACACAGACAATATTATCTATGAATTAAGATACCCCTTGATCAACTGCGTTCCTGAAACGAAATTCATGAATAATTAGACTGGACATTGAGCTACATGCCTATCAAGAAGACTCACATTATATCTCTTCGACTATAGCTCAATTAGGAACCATTCAAACACACGTAAACTCTGTCTGAAAAGAAAATAAAACTATAGCAGCCACAGTCATATGTAAAAAAAAGGCTAAAATATATGAAATAATTATTAATTAATAATAAAAAAAGGAAAAGCCGACACTCAATAATATCAACTATTAATACGACAACAATTGCTGTGATTGGAAGGTAAAACAAGACGAAAGCAACATTTCAGTCACTAGAAACATAACTTTGGATTATTTACCTAACGAGTTCTTTCCTATTTTCTATATATTTTCTCTCTCTCTCACACACACACACACACACACACACACACACATATATATATATATATATATATTCAGTTAAAAATAAAATAAAAAACATCCTCGATAATAGTTAATAAAATAACCAAAATCATTCGGATATATTGAACATTTGGGCAGTTTTATATCCAGAAACCTCTTATACAAACTCAAGGCAAATGAAATAAAAAAAACAAACGTAGCAACTTAAATACGTGTAGCAACTAAAAAGAACGTTTGGCGTAATAAGAAATTTTATCGAAAAAAAACCATTCAAAAATGTACAGATTTGTTAACAAATGACCCAAAGACAATTAAGTTGGTGAAAATAAACTTATTGGATAGTGAATATTTATTGGCATAATACTGTTGGGATCAGCAAACATTTAGAGAAATTGTCGAGTAAAGATTTATATGTTCTTGGTCGCATTTAGTCCGTTACTTATTAATTCTTTGGCTATAAACCGGATTTGGGTTTAGTTCACCTGGGAGCTGCACGTTCTATTTATACATCTGTATATCTATGCAAAACATTAAACGGCCAAAAGGTTCGATAACTTATTACACACACACATGTATATATATATATATGTGTGTGTGTGCGCGTGTGTGTGTGTGTGTGTGCATAAATTTATTTTCAGAAAGTGTATTTGTAAAGAAAGAAAATGAATAAAAAGAGACAAGAGAAAAAAAAAACTATTCTTAGCAGACGCCTTTCGACCAGGACTTTTTTCCCTCAGAGGACGAAACGCGTCGGCTATGAATTGTATTTCTTCTTGTCTCTTTTTATTTATATAGACAATGATTGAAAAGTCCCTCACTATTTTACGCATGAGGCATCATCAGGATTCCTGATTTAACCCCTGTGACGTTTTTCTTTGGGGTTGATTAAAGAAGCAAGTCTTCTATACAAAACGAAAATTTGGAAGAATTTGAAAGGTGAATGCAAGAAGTTATGTCCTCTCTACATACATTCCTGGGTGGCTAGGCAAGCTGGGTAGCAAAATCGGGTGCCCATATCGAATTTTAAATAAAACCTGGTGCTAGACATTTTTCTCATACGAATTTCTTTGTAAAAATTATAGTTAATAACTTAATTATAAGTATTTTAAAATTGGGAATTACTTTTCAATCACCGTATTTATGTATTTATATATACACCGTTGTGCGAATTAATTGAAACAAAACGAATAATTCCGTTATTATTTACTTTTTTCGTATTTTTCCAATGAAACATGATCCAGTGCACATGTTAGTATTTCGTATGTCCACTCCACGAAATCGTCCCATGCAGATTGGCCACAGATTCTTGATTGGATTTAAATCAGGAGAGTTTCCGGGCCAATCTATAGTACTTTAACTTGCTTACTAGTAAGGCTTGCTAGTGTGTTCGTGATTGCTAGTGTCTGGTCGTGATAAAGAGATTAAGCAATCACGGATGATGCAGGATTTTTCAAGGCCAAAAAGTTTCATATATATATATATATATATATATATATATATATATATATATATATATTAATTTAATTAAAATTAGAAAACAGACAACTTTAAGGGTCTATTGATTATATTTTATTTACCCCGGAAGGTATTTTTTTTCCTGGTGTTCAGATCCTATTTCCATGCATCAAAAATGGTTTTAAATTTACATATTATTTTCATACACTTTTGAGGGATAGTTATAAGTTGATATAAGGTGATAGAGAGAGGTGGAGGAGGTAGACGACAGATATGGTCTAAATTAAAGACGGAAGGGAGAGACAGGAATAATTTTAAATCTATTTTTATTAAGATACTTCAGAGTAAGGGAGGGGATAAGGACCTATTTAATAAGTCATCTCATGGGAAACGAGACACAAAGAAAGAAAAAGAAAATATATAAGACAACAAATGTAGAAAGAGGGGGTGAAAGGAATAAAGTGTGAAAAGAAGAAAAGGAAGAATAAAATACCATATATAGGCATATTGCAGATAATTTCATAAAACATACATATATTTCATATATTTTGCAGTTAACGGTTGACATTAATTTAAAAAATTTGAAATCAATCTTTATGCTTGGAAATGTGATCTGAGGAACCAGGAAAGAACACGTAACTGGAGAAATAAAATATAATCAATAAACTATTAAGGGTGTCTGTTTTCTAATTAAATCAATATTTGCTATGGTTTGACATTGAGCTCTCTGGTTTACATCCTCCTTGGGATCATCATGTTTTTAATTCTATCTAAGCTTTCAAAGCTATCAAAGCTTTGATAGGATTAAAAAACACGTATCAATATGGTGATTTTCTTTCATCTTTCAATGATAATGTTATTAAGCTTATCAGGCAATATGAAAAATAGACAAAACCTGTCTATATCACTTAAAGATGCATCAATATATATATATATATATATATATATATAATCTATCCATATCTTAGATTTTCTTTAGAAATATATATATATATATATATATATATATATATATATATATATATGTGTGTGTGTGTGTGTGTGTGTGTGTGTGTGTGTGTGCGTGTGTGTGGGTGTGTGTGAAGAAAGAACAGTAAGATATATAATCCGGTGTTCTTATTGATATTTTTTTTTACAAAATAACGCTTAATGTAAATTTACAGAGCATTAATATTATAAATTAACTTATTTAAAATATAGTTTTTTCGCTACACAGTTCTAACCATGTTTCAAAAATGGAAGCTAAAAGCTTCGAATTTAATTTTGTAATTAAATTAAAGACATTAGTTCCATTTCATCCTCAAGCGAATGTTGGAGTAACTTATTTTTAAATTGACAGGGTTTTAAAGGCAGGCAAAGATCATAATTTATAGTTTCCAAGGATACAGAGAAATCCATTCATCCAGAGAAGGGGTGGTTGCCTGTTCATTTTATTAACTTTTGTTGTATCAGTTATTAGTTACGTTTGAAAAACGGTTACGTTTAGGCTGCGGTAGGGATAGAGAGGTATTTTTGAAAGAATTCTGGCATCCGTTAAATTCATGTCGTCTGGATTTTTTTTTTTAATTTATGGTTAACGACAAAAATTCATACGGCATTTTTTCTGTTTGTATACTTAAAGACTTTTGGGGGATGTTTAGGTTAGTATACGTTTTATTTAAAATATTTTCACTTTTAATTTTTAAATATTTTAAAATATTTACACTTTTAATTTTTAATAGGCTATATTTCTTTTTAAAATAAGTAATTGTATTAGAATTACTTACAGCATGTAAAAAAAAATTTTCATATCAAGTATAAGTATATATATTACCAGGTCACTTTTTAAAAATTTTTATATTTAAATATTATTTAAGTAAAATTTATGATAGTGAACACAAAAAATAGCTAATTCATTTCTCTGACTTAGTACACTTTTATTTTTTATAAACTTAGTAATATATAGTTTCTCATGTATGTACAAAGGACATGGGGCATTTAATAACCTACATATTCTAGCTTTTCATATTAATTTCATTTTACTGTATGCGTCTTGCTGGATTCTTTTAAGTGCTTGTGGTACTTTAAGAGAGGTGTTTAGGTTACAATACTTTTTATTTAACTACAATCTTGATAGATTTTTAGGTTAGAATTCGTTTTTAACAACAATTTTAAAAAACAATTTTAAAAATATTTTCACTGTTAATTTTAATAGACTATATTTTTTTTATTAAAACAAGTAAATGTAATAGAATTTCATACAGTATATAAAATAATTTTTTCATATCAAGTATACGTATGTAAATTACCATGTCGCACTTTTTAATTATACTTTTGAATATTATTTAGGGAAAACTTTTGACATTGACGGCAAAAAATAGCTATTTCATTTCTTTGAGTTAGTAAATTTTATATTTATAAATTTAATAATATATAGTTTCTCATGTATGCACAAAGGACATGGGTCATTTAATGACCTATATATTCTAGCTTTTTTATTAACTTCCATTTTACTGTAGGTGTTATATATATATATATATATATATATATATATATATATATATATATATATATATATATATATATATGAAATTTCCTTTAGAAATATATATATATATATATATATATATATATATATATTAATTTATGTATCTTAGAAGTATATATATTTATTTATTTTAGAAATATATATGCATATATCTAGAGAGAAAGGAATAGCGAAAGACACAGAATAAATAAGAGAGATATACATATTTCTAAAGAATTAACAGATTTATTTTTAATCTCACCTTTTTTATATATATATATATATATATATATATATATATATATATATAAAGTTAACATTGAAGTCAGCACTCAGAAGCGACAGGCTATTTCATGCTAGGCGCAATCATCAGGCGGCCTGACGATTGCGTCCAACATGAAACATCCTGTCGCCTCTGAGTATTCACTTCAATGTTCATTTTTATATTTATATTCACATACGCTCTATCTGTTATATTGAGCACTTTATCCCATAAATATAGCATACCTTAAAACTATAGTTTTCATGTATATATATATATATATATATATATATATATATATTATATATATAAAAATATATATATATATATATATATATATATATATATATATATATATATATATATATATATATATATATATATAAAAAGGTAAATTATTTCTAGTATATTGCTATCTCTCTCTCTCTCTCTCTCTCTCTCTCTCTCTTCAGGTTGAGGTTGGTATAATGTCGCCACTTCATATTTTTAATTTTCGCAAGCTCGTTGTTTGTTTTTGAATTTGTTGAATGCGCAGTATAAATCGTATGTCAGCTGGGCATCGTCAGTGACAAAAAGAGCACCATGACTAAAGAAATTAGGAATCGGTATGCTGTACTGCTTGGCATTCGCGCCGGGAGTTTCAGAGTATTTGAATTTCAATCTGAGGAGAGGGCAGAAGATTCGGGAAGAGTTGGGTGAGTGATTACGAAGATACAGCAGCTCGGCAAACTTACTCTGATTGTTCTGATAATAAAAAATCCCTAATTTGTTAGGTGGGGCATAGGACTCAACACGGAGGCCTACCCTGGGTGAATGATGTGCCTACTGAGGGACCTATCTCCGGCAATAGAACCCAGCACCATGTCACACAATCAGGAGAACACAGTCATGGTTCTCAGAGAATTTCCGCGACCACATCGCCCTTTATATCTAGCAATAGATTACAACCCAATAATAAAATCTGTTTAACTGCTACAAATTGTTTTGTATCTGTGTATATTAATATGAGTTCTGGTAAAAAAAAAATGCAATGATAACAGCCAAATTTTAATATTAGCACTAGTAAGAAATGATGGCTGAATACATTAGGTTTATAATACCCAGAAATTCATACAGAGATGTCCTCAAGGACACATAGCACAGTGGATAAAGGCGTTAGTTAGATCCACCAGTGTAAGTTCAATACCCGGTTAAGGCAGTGGATAACTTGGAGAGGGGAATTCGCAGGAGATAACTGATAACATGACAGGCGGAACTAGAACAGTCTAACCCATATATGAAATAAAATGTTCAGTTCGACATTCCAACCACCTGAAGAAGGCCGGAGCATACAACTGCCGAAACGTTGTGATAAATATGGCAACAAAGATGAGGACAATAGTCCGAATAATATAAATAAAAGCTGTTTTGTTTTTTTCACTTATGGTTTAATTTTTAAGTAGACGAGCGGTTGACAGGAAGAGACTGCACCTTGTTACTGAACTTGGTGTCTGGTCTAAGATGCAATGCAGCAAGGCTAACGTTAACCATTTTTCGCCTTTTCCTAAATCAGATAAAATTGTTATTGGTGAAAGGAAATATTTGTTCTCTGTTGTTTCTAAGATTTACACACTTTAATTAAAGAAGGACTATCTTGAAAATAACCTTTTAAAATGTCATGTGTCCTTACCTATAACTACAGAATGAACTCATCCTAACACTATGTATACTACGCCTCGCAAAAGAGAAGGACGAATCGAGTCGAGCCGATAGTAGGTCACTCCAAATCAGACTGACAGTCATACTAACACCTTCCACATCTTGTATTATTATTTCGTGTAATATACTTTCGTTATTTCTACTCTTGTGTTCGTGTTGTTTTTCCTTGGTCTTAACCTGGACCATAACATGAAATAAAGTCTTTTTTTCTAGGATTGCAAACCGATGCCATTTAAAAATATGATCCCGTCCATTCACTAAATATACATCCGTGGGATCTAATATCATTGCAGCAACGAGATTTGGATCTTTGCTAAAAGGAAAAATAATCCGAGTTGTTCCGATCGAAATTCGAACTCAGACCCTTTTTACATTTTACCAGCTGACAAATGCTAATAATTTCCAAAAAGTACTCATTAATATAAAAACAAGTTTTGGCCGTAAAGATATTAAGCTATAATAATTACATAATATGTATTTAAAAAGTAGTAATCAGTTGTCAAATTCTAGCGTTAAAATCTACAAAGAAATAAGCTTTTCATGGGCGATTTAGTTTAGAAATATTAGATTATCCTATTCGAAATGTGTTTAAACTGTCATAAATTAAATCAGTCGTTAGCAATCAAATGTCCATTCCTGATAAAATAATGAAATTAAAGAACTATTTACTTTTAAAAACATGTTTGACAGCATTAATAAACAAAATCCGGACACGAATTTTTACAAAGAATTTGCCCTCCAAAAAGCTGAATACATTTTCAAAACCCTCACAGCCGTCTTTATGCAAGAAATTGTACTGTAACTTTATTGATTTTCAGTCGCTTCAGAAGTTAACGCTTCCCAATCAATAATTCTACAGATCGATACGTTTTTTTATTCTCGTGCTCACTTTCCGGTAATAAAGCGATTTCTCAACCATGAAATTTAAAATTAATTCATTCAACATGCAGCTTTTAATGGCCACAGTTAGTGCCCTCGGCCGTGTCTCTTACTCGTTTAAAACTAACTGAAGACATCGTTAAATTGGGTTTTCGCCTTCTTGTTTTCTACTGAACTGACGTTTGTATAATTTCCCGCTTGAAAAGTGCTTTCAAAAAAAAAAAAAACACATTTTAAAGTCATTCAGAAAACTATGATCGTTTGAGTTAGAATTGTGTCGAGATGGAACTTTAAAAAAAAAACTACACGAAATAAACGTCATTGTCTATAAATCTGTGTGTGTCATTTTTTATTTATTGTCGTTTGTTTTGTAGGAGACACTATATCAACATGCGCGTAGACTCAAAATAAATCATTATTATTACATGTTAATCTTTATAAATTTTTAATTTAATTTCATTTGCGTTTTATCGACTCAGAATAGTAGAACTATCATTTAGCCGTTTGTTACATACATGAAGATAGACAGATAGATAAGTAGGTAGATAGATAGATAGATAGATAGATAGATAAACACGCAACTAGAGAGATAGATGTGTGTATATATATATATATATATATATATATATATATATATATATATATATGTAGAGAGAAAGAGAGAGAGAAAGTAAAATAGATAGAGAGAAATTTAAAAGCAGACTAATAGATAGATATACGAACACACTAATAGATAGATAGACAGATAGATATATAGATAGCTAGATAGATATATGAACACGTTAATAGAAATATAGAAAGACAGAGAGACACAAAGAGAGAAATAGAGAGATTTATAAGCACACTAATAGATAGATAGATAGATAGATAGATAGATAGATAGATAGATAAGTACATTAATCGATAGAAAGACAAATAGATGAACATACTATTAGAGGAATAAACGATTATTTTGACTAGTATTGTATCGTACTTAGAACAAGAAAGAGACTGCTGGGACAATTAACGACAAAAGAAAGACAATGAAAATTTAACACTGACAGGAGATATTAAGTGTAGGAGAAGCAAGGTTTAACAGCAAATAAGGTCGTTCAAAAGTGGATAGATGGAAAAAATATGGTGTAAGGGTAAAGAGGCAGGGAAATGTAGGAAGGAAACGATAAAATGTTGTGTAGATCCAGGGGAGCCTTCGCATTAATGCACACGGTCATGGGTATTTATGGGGAAACCAACTGAGCTTCTCTCTCTTTCTTTCTCTCTCTCTCTCTCTCTCTCTCTTATTATATAACTATCATATAGATACATAAATAGTGAGAGAGAAAGAGAGAGAGAGAAGTCCAGTTGTTTTATCTATATATCTATCTCAGTCTTTTCATATCTATCTATCTATCTATCTATCTATCTATCTATCTATCTGTATGTTCATCTATCTATTATTGTGTTCATCTATCTATCTATCTATCTATCTATCTATCTATCTATCTCATCCCAAGCATCTATATTTCCACATGCCTGGGGTTCGTACTCGATACGTTTTGACATGAAATTTTGTTTCATTTTGGGACATATTGTACCATCATACTGAATCCTCCAGCTTTTCTTATGTCGCCACGGATTCTGCTATTGTTGACTTGATGGAGTCACTGTGGCTTTATTTTATCGTATTTTTAGGAGGAACATTTTCAATAGTTTATGTCGTATTCAATTTAGTACGGTAGGTCGCCAAAGACTTGGAACCTAATGATTGCAACAGCTTACTCCCATGGGATTAGAAGATTACCGCACCAATCACATAAACAAGAGTATTTGTTATACGTCGGCGAATGTTAGATGAACATGACAACGTGCTAACATGTGTCGTTTTATCATCTTAGAAACGTCCTTTAAAATTTCTGACGCTAAGACAGAGGGTCGGAGAAACAGGTTAATTGAAATCATGTCAATGTGTAAACTCAGAGGAGAAGTGAGAAGACATTACAAAACTTAGGTATCAATTGTTTGTAAAAAGATAATAATAATAATAATAATAATAATAATAATGTGGCACATGAAAATATCAACAAACCCTGTTGTAGTTGGAACTCTTGGATTGGTTGGAAAATATTCCAGTAGACTAATCGACGGGATCCTTGAAAGTGCATGCCTTAAAGAAATACAACATTTTCTTTCACGAGTACAGCTCGGACATTACGAAGAACTTTATCTATGTAAATTTTTTTTAGTTTTTATTTAATTATTTACTTGGTCATTGAAAAATGTCCTGATGCCATTTCTAATCTTAGGTCTCTGGGCAGGACCCGGAACGAAATGTGTACCCACCAGAAATCAAAGGAAATAATAATAATAATAATAATAATAATAATAATAATAATAATAATAATGTGGCACATGTGAACATCAACAAGAGCTTTTGTAGCCGTAGCCCTTGGATTGGTTGGAAAAGATTCCAGTAGACTAATCGATGGGATTTCTGGAAGTCCATGCCTTAAAGAAATACAAATATATCAGGTCATCCCATAAGTTCTGTCTGAATTTTGAATAAAGAAAGCAAGTGACCAAATGTTACATTATTTACAGATTCAATCAACAATGTATTTTCCCTGATTATCTATGACTTCCTTCCATCTATTAACAAGATTACTAATTCCATTACTGTAAAATTCTTTTGACTTTGATTCGAAGAACTCACAAATGTCAAATCTGAAGGAGCAAGATCGGGAGAATAAGGTGGATGAGGAATTTTCTCCCAACCATGTTCTTCGATCTTTTGTGACGTGATTCTTGCTGTGTGGGGTCGCGCATTGTCCTGATGAAACATTACCTCTTTTCGATTCACTAGAGCAGGTATTTTTTCCTCAAAGCTTGGTTCAAACGGTCTAATTGCTGACAGTATATTTGAGCATTAATTGTTGCATTAGGTGGTAAGAATTCAAAGTGGATTATTCCTTGGCGATCCCACCAGATTGAAAGAAGAACATTTTGCCCATGAAGTTCCCTTCTCGGCTGTGGCTGGAGTCCTTCCCCTTTACCAATCCACTGTCTACGACGCTTAACATTTCGATAAAAGATCCAGTTTTCGTCGCCAGTCACAAGTCTATCCAAAAAAGGTGAAACAAGTTGGCGAGAATGGAGAGAAGAGCAGATGTCAACTCGGGATTTGAGGTTATTTTCAGACAATTCATGAGGCACCCATTTTCCAAGTTTTGGAACTTTTCCAAGTTGTTGAAGATGACGATGAACAGTTGTATGGTTTGAACTGAGAACCACTGCCAATTCCTCAACTGATAAAGCAGGATTTTCTTCAAGGGCTGCTTCAAGAAGCTTTTCATCAAACTCAACTGGACGTCCGGTTCGATCATCATCTTCAAGGGTGAAATCTCCACCTCTGAATTTTGCAAACCATCTTCTGCAAATTCTTTCATTCACATATTCCTCTCCATAAACTGAGTGAATGTTTCTAGCCGCTTCGGCTGCTGAGTTTCCTTTCTTGAACTCATAAAGCATTATGTGCCTCAAATGATTCTTGGGTACTTCCATGTTAGTAGGGTTTTAATCAAACAAAATTGAATTTTATTGTTCTCTGAAATAAAATTTGATCAGTTTAAATGCATCTAAACATAAAAATAATGTTCAGCTCCATTAGACATTATAAAATGCTGTTTAAATTTTGTTCATGTTAAAAAAAGGTAAAATTCGATCAGAACTTATGGGATGACCTGATATTTCTCACGAGTACAACCCACACTTTACGAAGGGCTTTATCTATGTAAAATATGTTTGTGTTTTTATTTATTTATTTTTTGGTCAGTGGAAAATGTCATGATGCCTTTTCGAACTTTATGTCTCTGGGCAGGACCCGGAACGAAATGTGTAAACAACAGAAATAAAAGGAAATAATAATAATAATAATAATAATAATAATAATAATAATAATAATAACAGTAATAAATAGACCATCTAATCTCAGGATGTTCTATACTTGCCCCAAATGAATATAAAAATCGTCACGATAGAGTGGGGCAATACTTACACTGGACAATGTGCAAACACTTTGGAAAATGTGTAAGCAAACACTCGTATGAACATCGGCCAGCGCCGGTTACAGAAATAGAAGATGTCACCATTCTATGGGATTATACCATCCACACAGACAGAAAAATTGAAGCAAATAGGCCGGACATTATTGTCAAAAAAACCAGAAAGAAAAAAACTTGCCTACTAATTGATATGGCTTGTCCAGCGGATTGTAACATAGCAACCAAGGAATTTGAAAAAACTATCAAAATACAAAGACCTGGAAATTGAAATAGAAAAAATGTGGAAATTGAAAACAAGAATAATACCAGTGGTAATAGGTGCACTTGGAATTATAAAAAAATGGAACAAAACAATACATTGAAAGAATCCTGGAAACCCCAGCTTAAGAGACATACAGAAAATTGTCTTATTAAGTACAGCACACACACTAAGGAGAACTTTGTCTATGTAACGCTAGCAACTTCATCGGAGAATAAAAAAAAAAAAAAAAAAAAAAATTAACATGAAATGTGGCCATAACAACACACCACGACCTGCCTTAGGTCTTTCCGCAGACTTGGTAGGTAGTGTGTCCATAGCAGAAATCGAATGATGATGATGATAATAACAGTAATAATAATAATAATAGTAATAATAATAATAATAATAATAATAATAATGATATGCGTTACGTGATGAGGAAACATTTGGCACTCACTGGTTGAGTAGCCATTGTTACTTTCGGTGGAAATTTATAAAATGTTTCTAGGAAAACATTCTTTCAGTAAAATAATTCTTCCAAGTCCAGTAGCTGGGATTCTTCTTTCCACTATCAGTAGGAGGCACTGCCATCCATAATCATTTGCTAGGATTTGTGCCAAACACTTTCATTATGCCATTATTGTCTCATTGTGTAGTTTAGTTATTGTTGATGATGAACGTCTGAAAATATTTCTGTTATTAGGTAAACAGCTCTTTGGGATTCTGTGGCAGTTAACCAACACCGAAGAAGCATGGTTCTCGCTTAGATCTAAACAAATTTTGTCTCAAATTGTTTTCTGGCCATCGGTCGACAGTTTACATCTTTTTGAACAGGTCTGTCAACATGCAGGACATTCATATAAAAGCCTATCTATCTATCTATCTATCTATCTATCTATCTATCTATCTATCTATTAGTGTCTTCATCTATCTATCTATCTATCTATCTATCTATCTATCTATCTATCTATCTATCTATTTATGAATGTGTTCATGTATCTACTAGCATGTTCATCTATCTTTCTCTTTACCTATTAATGTGTTCATCTATGTCTCTATCTATCTATTATTCTGTTCATCTATCTACTAGTATTTTCATCTATCTATCTATCTATCTATCTATCTATCTATCTATCTATTAGTGTGTTCATCTGTCTACTAGTATGTTCATCTATCTATCTATCTATCTATCTATCTATCTATCTATCTATCTATCTATTAGTGTGTTCATTTCTGATTTCAGAAACACTTTCTTACCATCGGTCTAAGTAAGCAGTGAACAGGTTACATCTTTTTTAACAGGTATAACACCATGTAGGACATCCATATGAAAGCCTATCTATCTATCTATCTATCTATCTATCTATCTATCTATGTTATGCAAGAATATGAGTCGATTTTTAGATTAATACTTAGTTTCGTAGCAACTTGTGGTGTTGCGCGAAACTGATCCAAGTACAGCCTATTTTATGTTCAATTTCTTCGTGAATGATGTTATATGTGATCCATACAGCGAGGTATCTGAAGTATATAGTATATACTAAACCCGCCTCATAAATTTTTACGATGAATTCAATGTCAGTGCCATCTTGTCTTCAGTTCCAATTCAAGATCATATTTTCCCTTTTGAAAAGGTTTAGTCGTATTAC